GGTGTGTGGACCAGGTGTTTACAGTGAAACATATAAGTGAACAGTATTTAGATAAGGCTAAAGAGGTTTTTGTGGCATTTATGGATTTGGGAAAAAAGGCATGACAGGGTGGATAGGGAAGCAATGTGGCAGATGTTGCAGGTGTATGGTGTAGGAGGTAGGTTACTGAAAGCAGTGAAGAGTTTTTACGAGGATAGTGAGGCTCAAGTTAGAGTATGTAGGAAAGAGGGAGATTATTTCCCAGTAAAAGTAGGCCTTAGACAAGGATGTGTGATGTCATCGTGGTTGTTTAATATATTTATAGATGGGGTTGTAAGAGAAGTAAATGCGAGGGTCTTGGCAAGAGGCGTGGAGTTAAAAGATAAAGAATCACACATAAAGTGGGAGTTGTTACAGTTGCTCTTTGCTGATGACACTGCTCTTGGGAGATTCTGAAGAGAAGTTGCAGAGGTTGGTGGATGAATTTGGTAGGGTATGCAAAAGAAGAAAATTAAAAGTGAATACAGGAAAGAGTAAGGTTATGAGGATAACAAAAAGATTAGGTGATGAAAGATTGAATATCAGATTGGAGGGAGAGTATGAAGGAGGTGAATGTATTCAGATATTTGGGAGTGGACGTGTCAGCGGATGGGTCTATGAAAGATGAGGTGAATCACAGAATTGATGAGGGGAAAAGGGTGAGCGGTGCACTTAGGAGTCTGTGGAGACAAAGAACTTTGTCTTTGGAGGCAAAGAGGGGAATGTATGAGAGTATAGTTTTACCAACGCTCTTATATGGGTGTGAAGCATGGGTGATGAATGTTGCAGCAAGGAGAAGGCTGGAGGAAGTGGAGATGTCATGTCTGAGGGCAATGTGTGGTGTGAATATAATGCAGAGAATTCGTAGTTTGGAAATTAGGAGAAGGTGCGGGATTACCAAAACTGTTGTCCAGAGGGCTGAGGAAGGGTTGTTGAGGTGGTTCGGACATGCAGAGAGAATTGAGTGAAACAGAATGACTTCAAGAGTGTATCAGTCTGTAGTGGAAGGAAGGCGGGGTAGGGGTCGGCCTAGGAAAGGTTGGAGGGAGGGAGTAAAGGAGGTTTTGTGTGCGAGGGGCTTGGACTTTCAGCAGGCATGCGCGAGCGTGTTTGATAGGAGTGAATGGAGACAAATGGTTTTTAATACTTGACGTGCTGTTGGAGTGTGAGCAAAGTAACATTTATGAAGGGATTCAGGGAAACCAGCAGGCCAGACTTGAGTCCTGGAGATGGGAAGTACAGTGCCTGCACTCTGAAGGAGGGGTGTTAATGTTGCAGTTTAAAAACTGTAGTGTAAAGCACCCTTCTGGCAAGACAGTGATGGAGCAAATGATGGTGAAAGTTTTTCTTTTTCGGGCCACCCTGCCTTGGTGGGAATCGGCCAGTGTGTTAATAATACAGGAAGGCCCCACTTATACGGCGGGTTAGGTTCCAGGCTACCGCCGTAAAGCGGAAATCGCCGTAAAGTGGAACACCCTTTTTTTCCACTTATAAATGCATACAAACACTAGATAACAAGTTTACACTAACATATATTAAGTTAGCAATAGAACCAGGCATCAAAAAACAATAAAAAGGTACAATACACACATAGTGCACTCATTACTTACCTTAAAATATTTATAGTCTTAATCTAGGGTGAGACAAGTAGTATTTATTGTAAGAAATCAAGTGTGGTATGTATTGTAATAGCCTCACCAGGCCACCCCACCCACACATACTATTCTATGATATTTAAGCATCCCAGAGCGATAAAATGTATATACAGTTCACTCATTACTTACCTTAAAATATTTGTAGTCTTAATGTAGGGTCAGGAGTAAGTAAATGAGATAAAACGAATAAATGAGAGAGAGAAAGAATGAATACATGAGAGGGGGCAGGCGCAGTTATGTAAACAAACCAGGGGAAGGTAAGTTTTGTAAACAAACGAAGTGTACACGTCTGGTTTGTGTACAAGTTACATTGTGTACAGGTTGTCTCTACATTGATACGGTAGAATTAATAAAGAAGAACACTCCCATTCTCATGTAACATCATTTTGAGAAGAAATGAAGCTCTGAGTGAAGGCAATGGAAATAAGTCACACTGACTTTTTTGGGTTATCCTAGGTTCTCTACACGTATGTTGTTATGTATGATAATCTATGTAACTGTATTTGTGTATACCTGAATAAACTTACTTACATACATACGAAAGGAATAATTTTCTACAGTTACCCCCAGTAACACATTTACTCTTATGTTAGATTAGAGAAAATGTTATTCTTGGCGTCACTTGTACAAGTTATGTGGCTCCCCCATCTTATATTTATGTTTATTTATTCTATTGTGGGGTGTATTTATCATCTTTTTATGTTATGTATCGTGTTTATTATATAATTTTGAAAAAAATATCATGGATGGATTAATGAAAATGTGTATATTACCGTAATATACGACATTTAATGAGACTCGGTATTGTTATTATCACCACTTGTGCAAGTCGTCTGCTACGACATCTCACATTTGTTTATTTATTCTACTGTGGGGTGTATTTATCTTATTTATATGTTATGCATCGTGTTTATTATATGATTTTGAAAAAAATATCATGGATGGATTAATGAAAATGTGTATATTACCGTAATATACGACATTTAATGAGACTCAGTATTGTTATTATCACCACTTGTGCAAGTCGTCTGCTACGACATCTCACATTTGTTTATTTATTCTACTGTGGGGTGTATTTATCTTATTTATATGTTATGCATCGTGTTTATTATATAATTTTGAAAAAAATATCATGGATGGATTAATGAAAATGTGTATATTAACGTAATATACGACATTTAAATGACTCGATGTATGTAAGTTTATTTAGGTACAGGTATACATAAGTATAATTATCAGAGTATATATAAAATATGAAATAACTTTTAAAAACATTTGAAATTTTGGAGTTTCCAGACAAAATGGAGAGACTTAGTGCTTACTGAGCTCATGGAGAATGTAAACAAACAGGGTGGGGCACGGTGACCGTATTAGAAAGTCAGGTGGGGGGAGCCGTATAGTGAGTTTTGGTCATAATTTGAAATGTCCGTATTAGCGGAACGCCGTAAAGTGAAACGCCGTAAAGCGGGGCCTTCCTGTAATAATAAAAAAATTTAATTTCTAAATAATAAAGTGTTTATATTTGACTGTTATTATTCTTTTTCTATTAATTTTCCTGAGGAGGAGCCAGCCTTGGTAATACTTACTGAAGTTGTTACAGGGCTGAGTAAACCTTCACAGGAAGTAACTCCAGAAAAGGACTTGCTACCTCAAGTCCTCAAGGAAGGGGATTCCCCTTCCAAACAATAATAACGTCCATCATCTCCCCTCCTCCCATCCCATCACTCATCACCAGATCTTTAATAAAGTTAAGTGTCATTTATTCTTCATTACACAATAATATAGTATATTATGCATGTCTTCTTCTTTTTGTATGTAGGAAAATGCATATTTCATGTGGCAAAATTTTTTTTTCCCATACTTTGGGGTGTCAGGAATGGATTAATTTGATTTCCATTATTTCTTATGGGGAAAATTAATTCAGCTAATGATAATTTCGTGTAACGATGAGCTCTCTGGAACAGATTAATATCGTTAGCCGAGAGTCCACTGTATTATGCTCTCTTATTGTACCCACGGCACCCCTACTTTTCACTGGATTTATACTACACTTCCTCCTGTATTTCACACTCAAGTATGTAGCCTCTCCTCACTTAATGATGGAGTTCCATTCCTAAGACCATGTCAGTAAACAAATTCGTCACTAAGTGAGGAGCATACTATAATGGTAGTGGGTTTGTGTCAACCATCTTTGATAATGTTTCAGTGTCACCTTTGCAGCATTTATAGCATTTCTGGTAAATTTTTAAATGTTTATACAGCAGTGTACTGTATACTGTAATAAACAGAATAGAGGAAATCAGCTCTAATATACATTATTTAGGTATCCATACTGGTCAGAGAGCCTGTCGTAAGTCCGAGTCATCAGTAAACAAGTATGTCGCTAAGTGAGGAGAAATTGTATCATGTATCTCTCTCTCTCTCTCTCTCCTCTTCTCCACAGAGTACATATTTAGAACTCTGAGGTGTTTCCAACAATTCAAATACTTTCTTGGCTCTATACAGGTCATAAATGATCTCTGCATTTGTTCCAGCTCTGATATCTCCCAGCCCTGAATGGGGCTGTCAACACTATACAATACTCTAAATGAGGAAGCTCAGGCAATCTGAATATTGTCTACAATGGCCTTGTTTTAAATTTTCTCATTATTCACCATATTATTTTCCTGGCTTTCGTGACATTTACCTCATGGAGTTCTTTGGAGGAAAAGTCAGTCAACATAATTACTCCAAGGTCTTCCACATGTTCCTTTCATGCTATGTGATGATCCTCTTGGTCTTTGCATACAATGTCCCTTTTAAACTCTTCATTCTTTCCACATCCAGGCAGCAGGAACTTATCACCATGAAATGCCATATAGTTTTTCCATTTCCCATTGGAAAACCCTACTTACATCTTCCTATAATTTTTATGTGTCATTTACCAAGGTGATTTTCAAGCTTATTTTCGTGTCATCCACAACTGATGATACAAGACTGCGGCAAGTGTTTTTATATATGTCTGCAATGAGGATAAGAAATAGCAGAAGTGCCAGGTCTGTGTCTTGTGGGATTGAGCTCTATACCCAGCTAATGATGCAATTTCCTCTGTTTACTACTGCTCTTTGTGTTCTCTCTATCAGAAATTGGAAATCCATTTGCCTATCTTTTTCACTATGCCTACAGCCCTTATTATGTGAGTACTCACTCCATGATCACATTTGTCAAATGCCTCTGCAAAATTCATACATACCACACCTGTGTTTTGGTTTTGTTCCAGCACCCCTGTAATTCTGTCAGTAACAGCAATATTAACATGACTTCTGAATACGTGCATCATAAACTTACCATCGGTCTTTGAAGGTAAAATAGAAGAGGGAATTTGTGATTTTTGCCCCACTTTGACCACTGAAGACATACATTGAATCTCTTGCCACTGCCACTGGAAAGTTGCAGCAGGTGGGGGGACAGTCTCCTGTTTGGCTGATTTCTTCCCACATTCGGTTATCGCCCTGTGCAACGTACAATAGTTCAATATTATTTCTGCTGCACAGAGAAACAGAAAGATTTTAGTTTTGAACTCAAAATTTTTTAGAAAAAGTCACAACTGAGTAAAAATATAACACGAGTGTCAGGGAGGTGCACGAGGCATTATGTAGAATGAAAGGGGGTAAACAGCTGGAACTGATGGGATCGTGACAGAAATGCTAAAAGCAGGGTTGGAGTGGTTGGTACTTTTGTTTAAGAAAAGTATGAAAGAGGGGAAAGTACCTAGGGATTGGCAAAGAGTGTATAGTTCCTTTATATAAAGGGAAGGAGGACAAAAGAGATTGTAAAAATTATGCTGGAATAAGTTTACTGAGTATACCAGGTAAAAATGTATGGTAGGGTTATTACTGAAAGAATTAGAGGTAAGGCAGAGAGCTAGATTGCAGATGAGCAAGGAGGCTTTAGAATGAGTAGGGATGTGTAGATCAAGTGTTTACATTGAAGCATATATGTGAACAGTATTTAGACAAAGATACAGAAGGTTTCATTGCATTTATTGATTTAGAAAAGGCATATAATAGAGTGGATAGGGGAGCAATGTGGCCGATGTTGCAAGTGTATGGAATAAGTAGTAAGTTACTAAATGCTGAAAAGAGTTTTTACGAGGGTAGTAAGGCTCAGGTTAGGGTGTGTAGGATAGTGAGGCTCAGGTTAGGGTGTGTAGGAGAGAGGGAGATTACTTCCCAGTAAAAGTAGGTCTTAGACAGGGATGTCATATATCGCATGGAACAGAATTGTTTTTATACCGTGCGCACTCACTGCACCGACCCATTCTGTCATATATAGGACAGAATTTACTGCTCACAACTCAGATTAGTGAGCTGAGCTAGTGATATAGAACTACATCAAGGATCCTGGCCTCAATGACATAGTTCTCTGTGATGGCCACTGAAAGGGTTAATGCTTCAAAAGTTTAATAAACAACATTTTTCACGTGCTACTGATTATTCCAGATGATTTATTTTTTTGACACACCTGTTTTGACACACCTGCCCTCTCCCACTGAGGTAGGTGACTTGAAAAAGAAGAAACATTTTCACCATCACTCACTCCATCACTGTCTTGCCACTTTTTTATCTTTTCACAAGAAAATTATGCAGTTTGAAGATGCCTATAAGAGAGTTTACCCTACATCAATTTCACAGCTTAGAAAAAGCAATACAGCAATTTTGTAGCTAAATAAATAAATAATACAGCTGAAATTATCTTATAATACAGAGACTGCTTAACACAGAATGCAAAGATAACACAGTAATTGCACAGATTACATTATATAGTAAGTTTTCATCAACATGAAAGTGAGGGTCCTAAAAAAACAAACATATGAGAGCTAGAAAACTCCCACACTACATGTGAATATGCAGGGTATTTTTTTTCTAAACACACTGGTCGTCTCCCACTGAGGCAGGGTGACCCGAAAAAGAAACACTTTCACCATCATTTACACTATCACTGTCTTGCCAGAGGAATGCAGATACAACAGTTTAGACATCCCTCTAAACAGCAAATATCCCAAACCTGTCCTTTAGTGTGCAGGCACTTAATTCCCACCTCCAGGTCTCGAATCCAGTTAACTGGTTTCCCTGAATCCCTTCACAAAATATTTCCCTGCTCACACTCCAACAGTTCATCAAGTCCCGAAAACGATTTGTGCCCACTCAGTCCTATCTAAGATGCTCGCACACGCCTCTTGTGAGCACATCAAAAAGTGTTGTGTATTAACTTTTGGAGGAATAAATACAGGTGTAACTCACCCCAAGAGGAATGGTCCACATATCATTGAGTCTGAAGTTGCCATCATAGCCAGCAAATATCCACAGCTTCCCTTCATATACTGCTGCACCATGAGCTGACCGTGGTACTGGTGCTCTAGGTAACAAGATATTTTTCATGATTAGGTCTGAGAGGCAAAGAAAATTATGAACAAGTCACAAGATCATGTCTGGAATAAATCACAAGTCCACAATTTGTTAAAAAATTGGTTGCTATTTCAGTCTATACTTAACAAAAAGCATTTTCATTTTCAATTTGTAGAGAGCTGTGATACAAGGTAAAACTCTTAGCATAATATGCAAATGACCCACACATAAGACCCACACATATGACAATGTTTTGGCCCAACCTGGACCACTGATTAGCCACACACTGTGACTAGTTCATGGTCCAAGTGTGACCAAAATGTCGTCATAAACTTCTTTCTTGTATGAGCAGGTTATTTGTGTATTGTTCCAGTCACAGTATTCTGCCTTTTTATTCTCTTAACATAATGCAATACAAATACCAACATTAATTACTTTGTAAGAAATGTACTACATAGAGATTTCTAAACACAGAGATTAAATTATAAAAATGTATATAAAAAAAATATTTTATCATTCTCAAGCTGAATGATAAAAAAATAAGTTTAATACAATCCTTACAACTTGACCTGTAGTTAATGTGCAAAGTTTCTACTATAACATTCTTACTTAAAACCAGGGTTCCCTGAGAATGCAAGTGCTGACAGAGTTAGTTGACAAGTGACACGATGGATGACAGCATGGCGTGAATACACAAATAACCAGCACATAGAAGAGACGAGTTTACGATGGCGTTTCGGTTCGACTTGGACCATTTACAAATGTGACTTTGTAAATGGTCCAAGTCGGACCGAAACGTCATCGTAAGCTCCTCTCTTCTATGTGCAGGTTATTTGTGTATTGTTCCAGTCACGGTATTGTGCCTTTATTTGTTATTTATGGTGTGAATGCCAGTGTATAGTGACTGGACTTGCAGGTAATGAGCTGGCAAGTTTAGTCAGAACTAACAAAGATGACCCTATGAGTCTGCAACTGGGGTATACAACATTACAATGAAACAGAAGAAAATATTTTGCTTTATAAAAGACGTGTTAGCCAAACAGTGTCCTACACTCTCCCAACAAAGACTGGATTGAAAAACCTATTAACACTGAATATATATTAATTTTATTCTGAAATATCTTGAAGAACAACAAGTCTCCATTCTTGCAAAAATTAAGTAGTGTTGACTTGGTTGTTGATCTTGTCTTCTAAACAGAACTTAATTAACCTTTAGCAATTACAGTAATTTCACTGGTTCAGTAATGGTAATAACCAGTACATGTACTTTTTCAACAGTCAATCAAAATTAGCGCCAATCTGAATAATGTAAGCACAGTTGTTCAAACAAGGCACTAGAGTAACTCCAAGACAGATTGTGGTTTGGTTATTAGCAGTGTTGTGGAGCCAAAAGCTAAGAGCAGAATGAGTCAGAAAATGAGAGTGAAAGGTTTGTATGATCAGAAGATATGACCTAAAAACATACAACTGATGAAAAAATAAATTAAACCAATATACAAAATTAAAAATCAAGAAAATACTCACCTGTGAGTAAACTTCCAAAATTTAAAAAAAGGGAAATCCTCACCTGCCAGTGAACTTCCATTCTATCCACTGGCCTGTTTGGAAGCGATACTCAAAAAGGTCATTCTGGTTCTTGAGGTTACTGTTGCTATGGATGTCCCCAGTAAACCCACCAAACACAAACATTGAAGACTCGTGTACCTATCATGTTTGGGAATGATAATAATTAGCACTATGAAAGACAGAATTATATGAACATATTATGATAGTACAGGAGGGCCCCACTATATAGCACCTCGCTTTACAGCATTTTACTAATGCAGCCGTTTTCAATTATACCTATTCTTCATTTATTCAGACTTCCTACAATAAATATATTCACCATTCATTATAAGCCAAGGACAAAAATATTCTGAGGTTAATAATGTGTGTACTGTACATGAATCTTTTAGGCCTAGCTCTACTGCTCACTTAATATATATTTGATAGCATAAACAGTCTAACCAGGCTTTAATTATGTGCAATTGAAAGTGAAAAAAGGCAATTTTGGCTTAAAGCAAATAGCTGGAACTGACCTGCTGTATAAACAAAGCCCCCTGTACAAAGTATATCTATTTTACTTTTAATACTTCACATGCCAGTTAGACCATCATTTAGATGCGACTGTTATGAGATTGTTATAAGATGGAAATGATGCATTTCATACTAGTGCTTTATTACATATAAACTGTTATTTTTTTTACCACATGATAAGAAACAAAAAAAATCTGAATTGCAAATACAGTGTACCCATCAGTTTTATCGGCTGTTTTCCGCTTAACGGCCAACTTGGTTATGGTCAGGTTTCTTCTCGGCTTCCGATTTATCGGCTGATATTTCACTTATTCGCCTGTAGTGGGACACGACAACCTGCCTTGCCCGCGCAGCTGCATCGTTATCGTGAGTCAGTCTGGCCTGGTCTCTTGACGAGTGAGGAGACTCTGCTCATTCCCATCATCCAAACATCAAGGAAGCTAAACGTTTGTACAAGGGAGTTCAGCATAAGAGTGTAACCCAGGCAGCCTGGCAGGCAAGGGAGAGTATCAGGCAGGCAGGGAGAGTAGCATGCAGGCAGGGAGTGTAAGCAACAGGCAGGAGTGCAGCAGGAAGGCAGGGAGTGTAGTAGGCGCAGGGAGTGAGCTGACAGGCAGGGAGTGTAGCAGGCAGGCTGGGAGAGTACAGGCAGGCAGTAGAGTAGCAGTCCATGCCGGGAAGTGTAGCAGTGCCAGCAGGGAGAGTAGCAGGCAGGCAAGGGAATGTACAGGCAGGCAGGGATCGAAGTAGGGGTTAGGACCCTAATGGAAAAAGTCAACTCGACTTCTTGTTGGGTTACCCTAGGTTCTTTACACATATGCTGTAGAAGGGAGGCAGGGAGTGTAGCAGGGAAACAGGGATTGTGGAAGGGAGGCAGGAAGTGTAACAGGGTAAACAGGGAGTGTGGAAGGGAGCAGGGGTGTAGTCAGGGAAACAGGGAGTGTAGCAGGGAACAGTGAGTGTGGAAGAGAGCAGGGAGTGTAGCAGGGAAACAGGGAGTTGTGGAAGAGACCGCAGAGGAGTGTTGATGAAAACAGGGAGTGTGGAAGGAGGCAGGGAGTGCAGCAAGGGAAACAGGGGGGAGTGTGCAAGGGAGCAGGAGTACAGCATGGAAACTGGGAGTGTGAAAGGGAGCACAGAGTGTAGCGAGAAAACTGGGAGTGGTGGAAGGGAGGCAGGGAGTGTAGCATGGAGGGAGAAGTGAGCAGGGAGTGTAGCAGGCAAGACAGGGAGTGAGCGGAAACAGGGGAATGTGGAAGGAAGCATGGAGTGTAGCATGGAGGGAGGAGTTTGGGGGGGGTAGGGGAAGGGAGGTAGGGAGTGACCAGGGAACCTGGGTGTGTGGAAGGGAGGCAGGGAGTGTAGCATGGAGGGAGGGATGTAGCATCAACGGGGGCAGGGGAGGTGAAGCAGACACGCAGGGAGTGTAGCAGGAAACAGGGGTGTGGAAGGGAGGGCAGGGAGTGTAGCAAGGACCCGGAGAGTGTGGAAGGCAGGCAGGGAGTGTAGCATGGAGGGAGGGGAGCGTACAGTTAGGAAGGGAGTACAGCAGGCAGGCAGGGAGTGTAGCAGTCAGGCAGGGAGTATAGCAGCAGGCCAGGGAGTGGAGCACAGGCAGCAGGGAGTCACAGGGAGGAATGGAGTGTAGCAGCTGGCCAGGAGTGTACAGGTAGGCAGGGAGTGTAGGCAGGTAAGGCAGGGAATGTAGCAGGCAGGTAGGGAGTGAGCAGGCAGGGCAGGGAGTGTAAAAGCAGTGGCAGGAGTGTAGCAGGTAGGCAGGGATGTAGCAGGCAGGTAAGGAGTGTAGCAGGCAGGCAGGGGTGTAGCAGGTAGGCAGGGAGTGTAGTAAGTAATGGCAGTGGAATGTAGCAGGCAGGCAGGAAGTGTAGCAGTTAGCAGGGAGTGTAGCAGACAGCAGGGAGAGCAGCAGGCATTCAGCAGGGAGATGTAGCAGCAGGCAGGAGTGTAGCAGGTGGCAGGGAGTGTTGCAGGTAGGCAGGGAAGTTGCAGGCAAGGCAGGTAGTGTAGCGGTAGGCAGGGAGTGAGCAGGCCAGGCAAGGAGTGTAAGCAGGTAGGCAGGATGTAGCATCAGGAAGGAGTGTATCAGGCAGGCAGGAGTGTAGCAGGCAGGCAGGGAGTGTAGCAGGAAAGGAATGGATGGTAGCAGGCAGGCCAGGGAGTGTAGCATGTAGTCAGGAGTATTCAAGCATGGTAGGTTAGGGAGTGTAGCAGGCAGGGAGTGTAGCAGCAGGCAGGGAGTGTAGCAGGAGGGATGGAGTGCAGCAGGCAGCAGGGAGTGTAGCAGTGCAGGCAGGGAGAGTAGCAGTCAGGTAGGGAGTGGGCAAGCAGGCAGGGAGTGTAGCAGGTAGGCAGGGAGTGTAGCAGCAGGCAGGGGATTGTAGCTGGCATGCTAAGGAGTGTAGCAGGCAGGGCAGAGGAGTGTAGCAGCGGAATGGAGGTGTAGCAGGCAGGCAGGGAGTGTAGCAGGCAGGCAGGGGGTGTAGCAGGCAGGCAGGGGAATGGTGTAGCAGGGAGGAAGGGAGTTGTAGCAGCACACGGAGTGTAGCAGGTAGGCTAGGAGTGTAGCAGGTAGGCAGGGAAGGTGAAGCAAGCAGCAGGGAGTGTAGCAGGCAGGCAGCAGGGAGTGTAAGCAGGTAGGCAGGATTGTATGCAGGGGAGGGATGGAGTGTACAGTCAGACAAGGAGTGTAGCAGGTAAGGCAGGATGTAGCAGGCAGGCAGGGAGTGTAGCAGGTAGGCAGGGATTGTAGCAGTCAGCTAGGGGAAGTGTTAGCAGGTAGCAGGGGAGTGTAGCAGTGTAGGCAGGAGGTGTAGCAGTCAGGTAGGAGTGTAGCAGTCAGGTAGGGAGTTGTAGCATTAGGAAGGGAGTTAGCAGCAGGCAGGAGTGTAGCAGGTAGGCAGGGAGTGTCGCAGGTAGGCATGGAGTGTAGCAGGTATGGCAGGGAGTGTAGTCCAGGCAGGCAGGGAGTGTAGCAGTCCAGGCAGGCGAGTAGCAGCAGGCAGGGAGTGTAGCAGGTAGGCAGGGGATGTATCAGGAAACGAGAGTGGTGGAAGGGAGGGCAGGGAGTGTAACAGGGAAAAGGAGTGTGGATGGGAGGCAGGGAGTGTAGCATGGGATGGAGGGAGTGTATCACGGGGGCGGGATGAAGCGACAGGCAGGATTGTAGCAGGGAAACAGGGAGTGTGGAAGGGAGGCAGGAAGGATGGTAGCAAGGAAACGATGTTGGAAGGCAGAGCAGGGAGTGTACATGGAGGAGGAGGTAGCAGTTAGGAAGGGAGTAAAGCAGGCAGGCAGGGAGTGTAGCAGCAGGCAGGGAGCGTAGGCAGGCCAGGCAGGGAGTGTAGCAGGGAGGAATGGATTGTAGCAAATGCAGGCAGGGAGTGTAGTAGGTAGGCAGGAAGTGGTAGCAGGAAGGCATGGAATGTACAGGCAGGTAGGGATGTGTAGCAGGACAGGCAGGAGCTGTAGCAGGTAGCAGGGAGTGTAGCAGGAAGGCAGGGAGAGTAGCAGCAGGCTGGAGTTGTAACAGGAAGGCAGGAGTGTAGCGATACAGGCGGGAGTGCAGCATTCAGGCAGGGAGTGGGTAGCAGGCAGGCAGAAGTGTAGCAAGTAGGCAGGGAGTGTTGCAGGTAGGCAAACGAGAGTTGCAGAGCAGCAGGAGTGTAGCGTATGGCAGGGAGTGTGTAGCAGGCAGCAAGGGAGTGTAGGCAGGTAGGCAGGGAGTGTAGCAGTCAGGAAGGGAGTGGTAGCAGGCAGGCAGGGAGTGTAAGTCAGGAAGGAATATGTATAGCAGGCAGGCAGGGAGTGTAGCAGGTATGCAGGGAGTGTAAAGGTAGGCAGGAGTGTAGCAAGCAGGCAGGGAGTGTAGCAGGCAGGCAAGGAGTGTAGCAGGGAGGGATGGAGTGCAGCAGGCAAGCAGGGAGTATAGCAGGCAGGCAGGGAGTGTAGCAAACAGGCAGGGAGTGTAGCCAGGCAGGCAGGGATGTAGCAGGTAGGCAGAGAGTGTAGAAGGCAGGCAGGGAGTGTAGCAGGCAGGCAAGAAGTGTAGCAGGCAGGCAAGGAGTGTAGCAGTCAGGAAGGGAGTGTAGCAGGCAGGCAGGGAGGGTAGCATGGGAGGATGAGGTGTAGCTGTCATTTCAGCGGAGTGTAGAAGGGAGGGATGAGTGTAGCAGCAGGTAAGGAGTGAGCAGGCAGGCAGAGTGTAGCAGGAGGATTGAGTGGCAGCTAGGCAGGCAGGGAGTGTAGCAGGCAACAGTGAGTGTAGCCAGCCAGGCAGGGAGTGTAGCAGTCAGGCAGGGAGTGTAGAGCAGTCAGGCAGGTGTGTAGCAGGCAGGCAGGGGGTGTAGCAGGCAGACAGGGAGTGTAGCAGGCAGGCAGGGAGTGTAGCAGTCAGGCAGGGATGGTACAGGGCGGGAAGAAGTGTAGCAGGCAGGTAGGGAGTGTAGCAGGCAGGCAGGGAGTGTAGCAGGGTGGGATTGAGTGCAGCAGGTCAGGAGGGAGTGTAGCAGGCAGACAGGGAGAGGTAGCAGCATGCAGGGAGTGTAAGCAGGGCAGACAGGGAGTGTAGCAGCAGGTAAGGAGTTAGCAGGCAGGCAGGAGTGTAGCAG